GGAACCTTCTGGTCAGTCTAGGCTTGTTGAGCTACCTCTGAAGAATGAGTTTTTGAGTGCTGGGGTATGATGATGGCAAGGACAACAGTATCCTCCTTCCAGCCTCCAAGAATCTTCAACATTAAATGTTTATGTTGTAATCTGTTGTAGTCATCTATGAAGCACTACACTGTTGAAGAAGCAGTCTTGCGTTCACTGCCAAAACTTCACCACAGGAACAGGCTGACGATTAACAATACCTCTGGTGGTGGAGGCTGCTTCTGAGACAGGAATTGATACATGTAATAATCAGCTGGAGACGAGCTTAGGCTTAAATTCAGACTGAGTTAATATCTTGAATACTGATACACAGTACCAGAGAATAGAGTTCAAAGGAGAAAATAAACCAATGCTGTCCTGTTGGTACAGAGGTACTGCTTATCTTTGCTTTTCCTACTTGGCAACACTTCCCAATGAGACTACGTTTGAGAATAACTTCACTGTCCTATTTCACTGAAATTCTCAGATAATTGGCAGACAGCAACTGCTTGTTTTATGAAGGTCTGATACAGAAAAATATATCTGGAATAAATATTGTCTTTAAAAAAAAAAAAAAAGAAAATCCCAAACCATTCAACTTATTTTGCTGAAATAGTACATCAGTTCTCCTAGATACAAAATGAATTGTTCAGTATGATACAAGGGGTGTGTGTGTGTAAAGAGTATGAAATATTGGCAGTGATATTACATAAAAGGAGACACAAGTTCACTTATTTTGTTGTCAGCATTGCATATGTTGCGGCTTTCTGTTTGCAGTTTGATATAAACTAGCATGTGGCTTTTTTCCTTTTAATCTGTGTTCAAGGGAGTAAATGTTGAATGCTTCAGCAGAAGAGGGCTTTCCAGTTAGTCAGGACTTCAGCATACAGTCGTGAAAATCTCTGGGGCTGGATATTGTGAAGGTGAATAATGTATCTTTAGACTTCTAATGTTGTAGATGTCGTGATAACTATAGACTTGCAATACTTCCAAAGGAATCTCTCCTGCCCTCTATGCCATTTTTCCCTGGCTGCCGATATAAGTGCTTCTGTGGCTTTGCAGTGAACTGGAGAGCGAGGAATTGATGTGGTTTAAAACTAAATTTAAGGCATAAATCTGGTTTTGTTTCCCCTTCATGTGAACCAGGGAGAGAAGTAGCAGGAACAAAATAGCAAATGAAAGGTGGGACTGCTGCTTTTGGCAGCAGTGTTAGCCCACACTGGTTCAGTGATGGTAAAAATATGGTGTAAGCACAAACTGAGTTTTTGATACGTGCTGAGTATGTACTACTGTATGATACCAAACATGGAATCAGAATGTACTTAAAAGGAAAAATTCACTCAAGTCTGACTTCACAGTGAAAGCTATTGCTAATACTTCTGCAGCTTTATTGTTCAGCGCAGCAAAGATGTGCTTTCTCTCACCCGTTAGAGCTATGGTAACAACTGAACTGTAGTGTGTCATCTGTTCAAAGCTAAGTCTCTCAAATGGGGTGGTTTGCATCTAAAAATGACGAGGTGTACAACAGAACTGTTAGGTGAGGAAAACAAAGTGAAATTACTCCTTTTTTTTCCAGAGGAAATATTACCTGTGAAAATTATGACTTGTTCAGTTTGTAGTCTTTCAGGATGGTAAGTTGCATAGGTATGGAGAAGTATTTATGATAGTTTGTCTTTTCATAGCATTGTTAAAAAAAAAAAAGAATCAGCTACATGCAGCAGCTTCTGTGTCTGGTAGCTAGTAGATATTCCCCTTAATGTTGGGGATAACTTCCCTGAGTTGAAGTCTGACTTGTCGAGGTGCAGGTCAAGATTTTTAGAGCTCTTATAAACTGAGGTCTTGTTTACTCTTTGCCACTGGCTAAGCCTGATTCCTTTTAAACAAAACAATACGAAAAAGCTTGTGTAACAAGCTGTCCCACAAATGATTCAAAACTTGTTGATGATCTCTGAAGTAGTCAAGTAGGTTCTTACAAGACTTGTAGAAAAAAAGAACTTGCCACAGTGCTTGGACTGTGGGAGAGAGCGTGTGTGGTCTTGCTCTCCAGACAGCCATGAATCCACGCAGAGGAGAGGCTTCCATTACGTATCCCAACCATGGGAAAAACTTAATTGGAGTTTGCAGTTCATTATATACCAAAGTCCTCAGCTGTTTGATGTAAATATTTAGGAAACTGGCTTTGATAATTGTGATGCCCATAACCTATGCCAGCACCACTCCCTTATTTGCAAGGAATAGTGCTATCAACAGAGATAATTATCCCATGAGGTTTCATAATGCTGGCTGTCCCAGTATTGCTGTACTGAGAAGCATTTGGAAAAAGTATGGGGCTGCTCTTACCACATGTATTGGTCTGATGTTTTTGGAACATCTGGAGAACTTCAGAAGTGCCCTGTAGATCTGCATGTGAGCAGGGTGATCTCAGAAATGGTTGTCCTGTCTCTGTGAAATTTGATTTTTCCTAGTTTGTTTTCTCAGTTGAAAACAACATTTGTTCTAGGCTTTTTGGTGGGGTGGAGGAGAGTTCCAGCTGCAGGTTGTCTTTTGGTAGCGCTGGCCATCTTGCGAAGCAAAAAGTTGGCATGCTAATGTGCTGGTCCCTTGGCTGCATCAGGCTTCTGGAGCTGTTGGAAGGGTGCAGGGAGAAGGGAAATGGGCTGATGCTTGTGGAGAGGGGTTGCGAGAGGATTCAACAAGGAGCTTCTGTTCTCTAAGAAGCTCCTGTTGGCTATGGGGAAGCTCTGAGTCTCCAAGTGTTTAGTCACGGGGAATTTGTGGCCTTAGTCCTTGTCCCTCCTCTTCCTTGCAGTTCCATCTTGCTGCTGCCCGGGAGGAGGCAGTTGTTGCTCACCCAGGCTCAGCTGAATGGTTGAAAAAAATGAATAGGAGAGGGCTGCTTCTCTTGCTATAGCTCCTTGTGCCTGTGCTTAGAAAAGCTGACTCGGCAAGGTGCGGGTGGACATGCCTGTATTCCTCCTCCTGAATGCTGAAACCCACTGCGTCCTGCGGGACAGCTCAGTTTAGAAAGGCAGGGCCTTGCCAAGAAGTGAACGCGGGTCTGCTGCCTCAAGAGCAATCGTAGTTGCACGCTTACCAGGACAGAGATGCTGGGTAGGTGGGTGGGTGCAGGTCCTGTTGCAGCTGAGAAGATCCCATGGCATTAATATCGGTCCATTTGGTATGTAGATCGTTTTTAGGTAGAGGCAAGGAAAGGTCTGGCCCAAGTGCCACGGTGAGGGCTGGTTTGTGGTGAACAAGTTGAGAGTCCTGGCCTAGAAAAAAATGAAGGCGTCTGCTGGCAGTGGAGAGGAAGGAGGCAAGTTCTCTGACACTCATTTTTCTCCTGTAAAACACATACGTATGCCTTGTAATTCTCCCAGCTCTTTTTACCAGTGTCAGGTCAAAATAAAACTTGCAGGTCTATAATTAAAGCGTAACAAATAGTAAAACTACCACTCAATTCCTCCCGCCCTTTTGTGCAAACGGAATTTAGAAATTGGCACAAAGAAAACCTTCATGAAAACTTGTCGGTGCTAATCAGGATGAATGAATTAAACTTTCACTTTGCTTTTATTTTCTTCCTATTTAAAGTTTCCAAAAGGCTTTTTAACCTTGAGTAGCTTCTTTATTTCTCTTTTTTTAAAAAGGTAATTAAATGCCACAGAGACCTGAAATGAAATCAAGTAGCCTTTCCCAGTTACAGTTGTTTTGTGAACATGAGAAAAAACAAACAAAATAACCCCACTAGCCTGGTTTTAACTTTCAGTGGGACTACTTAAATTCAGTACTGCTTAACAGTTACACAAATACGAAAAATTTTAATTACAGAATATAAAGCTCGTGATGATACTAGTTATATATTATTTCTGAAGGAGTTACTGCTTTCTCAGGTTTTCAGATAAAAATACTTGTAGAAGGAATGTTGTCTTCAGGCAAGTTAAAACTTGCTGGCATATTCATGGTAATATAGTGTCTTTGAAAGAAAGCATGTGTATGTATCTAGGAAGATTCAAGCTGGAGAATCAAATCATTCCTATTTTGAGGGCTGGTATTTAACTTGCCTGTGGAGTGTATTGATATATCTTTCTAGGAATTGGTCTCTTGTGACCGAGGATCCGCTGTGTTAACTGGGTGCTACTCTTCTAGTGTAGGGTTAATAACAAGTTTCCAAGATACGAGTAGGCCTGGCATGAAATAATAGTGATTTACTCCTGTTGTTTTTCTGCTGTGTTGGGGAATCTCTTTTAATATTTCAGAAAGAGACAGTAGTCTTCCCTATGAAAATGGGAATGAGAGAACAAGTTCAACTGTAGCCCAGCTGAAAAGCTCTTAACTTACTAGTTGTCTCTAGCATCATGTGTATTAAAAAAAAGTCTGTTTTTATGTTCTAGAGTACTTTAAATTTGAGATTATTTCAATCTTAAATCTGTTCTTGTTTGTGCTCACAAACATTCAGCAGTCCTGCAATTCACTGGTATTTAGACACTGTGCATGTGAAGTTTTAAACTATTTGCCTGTGTGACACCAGGTGATCCTTGCCTGAAGTAAGCAGCAAGCCTTCTGCAGGACGGTGCTCCGGAGCCTTAACAATGAGACCGCTTGCTTTCATCCACTACCCATTTCTCATTTGTTTGCAAAAGGATACAAGGCTCTCCAAGTGCATTCGCTTGTTACACAAACTAGTTAGTTACACATACAGAATGTAATAAGAAAAAAAAGATTCTGGGTTACTGCACTGCTTTTCCTAGTCAGCGATTGTCATAGAACTGCTCTTAGAGCCCGAGCAGTGAGTGACTGTTAGCCTTCTGCAGGGCTACAAACAAATGATTTTAATCTGCAGATAGTGTGGTGGATGAAGAGCTGAACTACTTCTAAGTGTATCTCTAAACAGATAATGAGTTCTCCTAACTTTGTTTTTTAACCTCTTGTGCTCTGCAGGGAGTTAGTCACCTTTAAGTCTTCCTCTTTCTTCTCCTTTTCAGATTCTTTTCCCAACTGTGATGTTAGCTTTTGGTCTTAAAGACTGTAGGAGAGGGATGTATGTGATCAGTATGGAATAGACCTCACCAGTAAGACAAATGAGATTTGTAAGTAGAATAACATCTGTAGTTCTTCAGGCAAAAGTCTGAAATCTCTGAGGATCGGGAATGGAAGAGGCTCCTATGCAGTAAAGTAAAGCCCTGAGAGATCTTCATAGACCAGCAGAGAGTTATTAAGAATGTTACAGGTGACAGTGCTGTGATGAGAAGCATCTGCTTGTCCTAAATCTTCGGGGTGGGGTGGTGGTGAATTCAATGCTTATGCATTGCAAAGAAATTTCCAGTTGATTCCTTCCTTGGGGAAGGAGCTATGTCCCCTTGAGGCTTAAGACTTCTCTGAATAATTAATCCCTTAGGTCTCTGTCCTCAGAGAGAGATGAAAGAACTGTCGAAGGCTACTGTGTTTCACCTGATAAAGGAAGTCATTAGCAAGTCTTCAGATACATTCACATAAATTAAAAACACTTGCATCTTCTTGCCTTAATAATAGATGAAGCCTTTAGGATTAGAGTTAAAAAAAAGGAAAAAACAACTAAAACCCCCTATGTGAGTAGAGTAAAATTCCCTTTCACTTAGTTTGACTTGCCCCTGAATTACTTTGTTTTTCCAAATCACCCCTGTTCTTCCTCTTGTCTTCTCCGATCCTGCATGAGATGTGGGGAAGGGGATGGTAGGGTAAACACACTTTTAAAAATCCCCATGTGCTGAAATTACAGAGAAGACTTAGGATTTGTTCTCCCAAATTCCTTTAATTCTAGAGGTGAGGAAGTATTTCTGTGGCTGAACAGATCAGTAATACAGTCATCAACTACAAATGAAATAATGATGAATAAAATTTCAACCACTGGTAGGGAAAGAATGTTTGAATGCTCATAACTTGGGAAACAAAATTTACCATGGTTGTGTTACTTTCTTTGGTTTTGACCATGCATTTGATGACATCAGGATATTGTGACCAAATTGCTGCTCTCCTTTTCTGTATTCCAAATTGGTGGTCTTTTATGCCAAACTTTTTTTGTTTTATTTTTAGGTATAATGGATCCCTCCCGAATGGTGACAGAGGACGCAGGAAAAGCAGATTTGCCCTTTATAAGCGACCTAAGGCAAATGGAGTTAAGCCTAGCACTGTTCACGTGATTTCTACTCCCCAAGCATCGAAGGTACGTGATGGTGGGGCAAATCCTGTTTTTCTGATGATCCTGGGTGGATAACAACTCTCGTATTACTGCTGATTTACCTTGCTGCCAGTTCATTCTGTGGTAGTCAGATATATTTGTTTTAATGAAAAGTCTGCAGTGGATTTTCTTTCTAGGGGTATATATCTTTAATCCATTTACCTGTTTAAAATAGTCTTTAACCTCAGGTATGAGATAATCTGACCTTTCTGCCCCTGTTCAGACAGCTGAGTTTGTCAATGCTGACGATTTTATCTGAGCCATAGAGTAGTTGTGTGATGCAAATACAAGAAGTATTTTAATTTCTTTCTCACTGGAGTGTAAGATTGGTATGTCTCTTTCCTCTTCAGGAAGATAACTGGCATGGTATAAAAAACTTAGTGATCCCTCTGGGCCTTTCATTTTTGTTGCTAATAATGATATTGTGTATGTTTTTACTTGAAGTCTAGTGTAGGTGAAGGAGGAAAAGCAGTAATATGAAAATAGTAATATATTAACGTATAGAACTGTCCGGGTTAAAGTTCTGGTGGTGGAACATACTTCAAGCTGCAAAAAGTCATCCTATCTCTTCTCTCAAACCCTTTTTCCTAGAAGCAAAAAGTGACTAGAGTTCTGGCCAAACTGGAGGGGGAGTTCTGTGGTGACACTCACAAAAGTGGATGGTTTGTAAGAGGTGTATATCACCTTTACCAAAATACATATCGGGGAGGGAGACAACATAGATCATTCTCAGAACTGAGAGAGTTGGGGTTGTTCAGCCTTGAAGAGAAGGCTCTGGGGAGACCTTATAGCAGCCTATCAGTACTTAAAGGGGCTTATAAGAAAGGTGGGGACAGACTTGTTAGCAGGGTAGATTTAGACTAGATTTAAGGAAGAAATTTTTTATGCTGAGGGTGGTGAAGCACTGGCCCAGGTTGCCCAGAGAGGTGGTGGATGCCCCATCCCTGGAAACATTCCAGGTCAGGGTGGACGGGGCTCTGAGCAACCTGATCTAGTTGAAGATGTCCCTGCTCATTGCAGGGGGGTTGGACTAGAAGGGACTTGAGAGGTCCCTTCCAACCCAAACCATTCTGTGATTCTGTAAGTGTGTTGTCCTTAGACCAAGAGAAGAATATTGTTTAATACATAGTATAGGATTATGTTTTCTTTTATAATACATACCATACACAGTGTACACCTAAACTTATCAAAATATACAATATCAGAGCTTCTTTTTTTTTAAAGATCATATAGGGCCTGCCTAGTGCAGATAAATATGTAGTCTTTTGGATTAAACGTTTCTGTAAATATCTTTCAGTGTTCCTATTCCCAAAATGAAAGCATTTGTGAGTTAAATCTTCTTAATGAAATCAACCTTCAAAATAGAATGCCTGTAGTATATGTTTGTATGTTGGTAACTCTGGTTGCTTAAAATGTAACAGATGAAAAAAATGTTTTACATAGCTGATGGAAATATGCACATGTTCTCACTGGATAGTCTTAAGCATTTGGACTGCAGATAGTATTTCAGCATTTGAGTTGCAAAATATTTAACACCTGGCAGACACCACAAGGTATCTGGTTAATGTTCATCTATGTTGTTATTGTAGTGCAGATAAAATATGTGTGCTGTACAAATTAGTGCCCTTATAAAGACAGCATAGGGTCTGAGACATTAAAGCCCCTCCTTTGAGGATTTGGATTCAGGTAGATATGTCACGTTGAATGTATTCTTTTGCACTTTCTCTGAACCCTTATAAAAGAGCTTTTGTGTATTTATACTGTTGTCTGGGGCAAGGCTGGTGGATGTGTGCCAGAGCAGTGGTGCAGTGGATTTCAGTTAGTGCTCTTTCAGATGCACAGAAAGGATGTTTACATTTTAAGATGCTTTCGTAGGCTTTTCTAACATCTTAAACACCAGAGCCTAAATGTGTTTTGGGCTTCTGCATGCAACTTTTGTAAAGGATTCCAGAAACCTAGACTAATAGAGAAAAGAATGAGCTGCTTTGTTCTTAGAAAATAATGTGCAACTTGACCTCAAAAGTTTTGTTCTGCTCTCAGTCTTTCAGTCTAACCCTTGTTTAAGGAAGATAAAACAGTGGGAACTTGTGCTGCACAGGATATTAACAAGTTTCCTCCCTTTACATCCTTCCTTCTAACTTTTCAGATACCAGTTCGCTTTTGGTTTGCTTGTCTGTCACTGTGTAAACTGAATCTTTGAATAGAAACAAACGTTATTTTCAGAGTACTGATGCTTTTAGGGTTGTGGATTTAGCAGAGGTGGGTAAAGCACTGGCTGTCTCCATTTGTTCTGTCACTGCTGTGGCATGGATGCTTGAATAAGGTGGCATAGCTGGCTTTGTGCTAATTCCTTTAATGCAGCAGCTCAAGAACTGTAACTGTCACCAATTTTAAGTTAGTGTGTCAGCCTGAAAACTGCAATAGATGGTAAGAGGATGCTTGTCATGTCCCATTGTCCCTGCTATGCAGGTGTCAAGGACAGCTGGAGTAGCAATGGTTTCAGTAGTAAATTTAGCTGAGCTAATTGCATATGAATCAGTGCCTTTTGTTTTTTCCAGTGGAGTGCTTGTTTTTTGCCACTCTGCCTTCTGAAGGTACTGAAGAAAACTTAGAATTGTTTGGCCTTCTGAGGGTATATGGGTATATTTTTTGGGGGAAAGCACTGCATGGGGTAGTAAGTCTCCAGTTTTTTCGTAGTATTGATAAAATATGCATGCACCTCTTCAACATTACGCACTTGACTTTAAAACCTATTTTATTAACTCTATGCTTAGGCACCATTCGGGGAATTTTCTAGTGTCCCCTATTTTACAAAACTCAGACTGTTTGAGACAGACTTTTTCTAGCATTGTCAAAATTGGTATTATTATAAGAAAGGAAGCTTAAAACTTTTGTACACACAAACGAGAGACAGCGTGGGCACCATTCGGGGAATTTTCTAGTGTCCCCTATTTTACAAAACTCAGACTGTTTGAGACGACTTTTTCTAGCATTGTTCAAAATCGGTATTATTATAAGAAAGGAGGCTTAAAACTCTTGTACACACAAACAAGAGACAGCATATGTCTGGGGGTAGGGGGGAGCGTGAGACTTCATTAACTGTGGATGAACCTTACTCAAGATTTTCACAATCCCTTTGCTAAACTAGAGTTTCTTTCAAAATCATCAAGTCACAGGTGAGGCCGTTCCTTGCATTGACTTGGGTCTCATGATGAAGACTGTCATCAGTCATGATCATATGATCTGTGAAAACCTTCTGCTGACTACCAAACTCTTAGGTGTAAGTTTTGCTACTAGCTCATCATGACATAGCTGGGATTGCTGGTTTTTATTTTAAAGCTAATTAGAGCTATTTAACAAAATAAAAAGTTAGTTGTAATGTTTATTTGGTTGAGTTGTCTTAACTGTTGCTTTCACGCACCGTAGTTAATGCTGTGGAACTCAAGTCTAGGTCTGCTGGTGTCTGAGATGGTTGCAAGGTGTACTTGTGCAGAAATTCTCCAGTGAGTGCTGAACTTAAGTGAGAGGGGGATGTAAGTTTTCAGAATAATCACCTGGGAATGATGGGATGCTAAACTGGAGTTTACTAGGGTTTTTTTGGGGGATATGGGAGGGGTATTTTTAAGGGTTTCCTTGTATTTTGGGGGCTTGTGGGGTGTGTTTTTTGGTCTGGGGTATACATGTCTGACAGGGAAAGAAGTGTCTGTAACTAAAAACAAAACCAGCTTCATATCTCTGTAGAATAATATTTGAGGACAGTATATCTTTCTTACAGATCTTAAGTAGGTGAATAATATGCCCATCTAAATAAAACGGTATGATCCCAATTTCTGCCAAGCAAAGATGTTCATCTTCCTGTACGCATCCAATCTGTTGGTTCAGTGGGCTGTTAGGTTAACGCTTCCCCTTGTGCAAACGCAGGTAGATCTTCATTTCTGTTTCCCCTTCTTCATAGCCATCACTAACTCCTTGTTGGAGTTCTTTTTGTGGAACCGTGGGAGAGAACTCCCCTAGTTCCATATGAGGGGGATGCTGGCATTAACAATCAGGTTACTGGTGATACTGAACACTCAAGTCATGTAATCCCCCATGACTCTAGGTATGTATGCATTTAGATTTCTTTATTGGTTTCTAATGCTTTTGAATTACTTCATGTGTGTGAAGGTTAGAAAAATGAAGAAGGAGCTTCATGTGCATTTGAGTTACTTGAAGTATGGTATTAGGAAGCATGAATTGTTGCCATTAGCCCTCCAGGATTCCCTGGGATTACTCTGGAAGCATGAATGAATTCTATTATAACAGCATGTATGGTATTTGAGACCTGCCAAAGTATTGAGTCAGTGGGCAAGAGAATATAACTAGCAAGCACTAGAAGTACTCCTTTCTAACAAGTGAATGTTGTGCTTTGATACCTAAGCGCTTGCATTCTTAATACTGACTTGATAGAAGATTGCAAATGTTTTTTGAATTGCTGCAGAGTACAAAAAACTCCACCTTTAATACCTTTTTATGATGGTATGTCTTGGTATTTATTATGCCTGTCTTTCTTGGGGTCAAAGTTTTCCTTTGATAACCTGTGGTAGTTAAAGACAACCTATTTTCTCCCCTATGAAATTACTATTTCAAGCTGGCTGGGGAAGATCATTCCGACTTCAAGTCCAGTTACCTGCCGAGTTGGCTTCTGCTTTGTGCTATCACAACAGCAGCTTGTATAGTCACTGGCTGGGTTCCTGCAGCTCAAATCAAGTTTCATGCTGCTACTGGAAAGAACAAAATGCAGCCATACGAATAATTATTAGGTTGGGGAGAGAGCTGCAATTTGTGCTTTGAGTGACGACAGAAAATGAAAGTGTAGGATTCTTGTCATTAGTTATCTACTGTAGATATTGCATCTGCTTTGACATACTTTGCGAATTTTGAGTAAAAAGACCAGAAATCCTTTTGGCACTGACAGCTTTTTGGTGTTCATTCTGGATGAGAGCTGT